GGACACAGGCCTTTAACGTTCAGGCCTGGTTTCACCGAACGTCGCTCAACTTTAGATTGAACTTGGTTCAATGCACGTGCGTCTCTTTCTAAACAGTTGCAAAGAGACAAAGAGCGAATCGAGCCAAGGTTAAAGTTGAACGACGTTGACGAAACCGGGCCTCAATCGTTCAGTCGCAGACACCGTGACGGTCGCGCGGTCGACTGTAAAACTTGCCGAATCACTCGTTTATCTCAGAGAAACGGGAAGCGACGGCTGTCAAGTAGCGCAGCGGCCGAGGCTCGGGCTCGGAAACGCTTGTCCGCGCGGGTCGAACGGCTCGGGCATCGGACGAAACTTATATAACAACTTGTCTGACTTTTGGTACAGCCTGTATACACGCGCCAGGGCGCGCGGCGAAGATCCGTCACGGGAGACGAGCCGCGCGGCGTGCGTAGTTAACCTAAATATCCTCGGGAGGGGTCTCGCGCTCCGTTCGCGATCCTGACATCGCTCGGCGCGAGGAACGCCGTCTTCAAAGGACTATAATTAGCGCACTTGACTGTGACAGGACAGTGCGCTCCTTGAACGACCGCGCGGCTATTCTTAGAAAAGAGTGAGCGCGCGCGCGCGCGGGGGACGGGAAGGGTAACAAACTCGACTCCCGGCGACGGGGGTGAACTCTCGATCGACCACGCGCGCGACGGGGAGAGAGCGCGCGCCAAGAGAAAAAGAGAGAGGAGGACGCGTGAAAAAGCGGGTACTCACGGATCGGACGCGATCTCGTACGGGGCTTCATCTCCCTCTTGCAGCATTTTCGAGGTGCATCTTACTCATCGACTTCGTCGCGGCCAGCGAGCGCGGCGGGATCGATCAATCGCGGTGTCCCGGCGCCGGGGTCGGGGGGATACCTCACGCGAATGGCACGCGCGTACGCGCTCCCATTGACACGGCACTCGCGCGCGCGCGCGCGCGCGCACGTGTATTTGTGTGCGCGCGTGTACGTGTCGTGTGCGTGGAGAAGGTGGAGGAGAGGTACGCGCGGACCGTACGACGCGTACCGCGAGAACGCGAGCGACAACTGAACGGCGAGAGCGGGACGGGCGGCCGATCTCTCTCTATCTTTCTCTTTCTCCCCCCCGCGCGAGCGTCTATCGATCGCATCCGCGACTCGCGGCCGGATTGCGTACCAACCAGCGGCGTAGAACAGGCGCGACCCACGTACCAACTGGGCGGCGGTGAGGACGACGCGCGTGACGCATCGCCGCGGACGCACAACGACGGCTGGTACGGCGTGCGCGTCCGCGCCGAGGGCGCTGATTGCGTAACCCGCCGCGCGATACAGAAAGATGATTTCACGATCGCGTCATCCGGCAATCCCGAGACGCATCGGGAGAGAAGAATCTACGCACAAATCGATCGAGTTGTTTTCCCGCGCGGGAGCACGCGGACTCGCGAGGATCGTCCCGCCCGCGCCGATCGGTCGGCGGCTACGCGGTTCTCGGGCTGTTTACGGTCTCGTAGCGCGGGAGGACCGTTTAAACTTTGTATAATTCCCAGGAAAGATTCTTATACGATATGAAATTATTATAAGTTAATGTAGCTTGCGGAAGATCGCGATAAATTCTCTGATGCGCAAAAGAGTCCCCGAATAGTACGGAGAATCTGAAAAGAATTGCTTCTGAATTCCCGAATTATAAGACGAATTCTTCGTCCACCCCATTTTTGTTTTGGAAACATTCTTGAGAGGTAGAAAAAATTGGACTTAAGTGACCAATTCTTTCTGAAATACAAGAAGAATCCTTTGTGTTCGAAACATCTTTAAGTTACTCCCATAAGAGATTAAATGATTATCAGTTCTTGCATATGAAATCCTTTTCGAGCTACCAAAAAGGAATCGTTTTATTTTGAACGTATTATCAATTTGTAAAGAATTTAAAGAAGCAAATCCTTTTCAAGTTTACAAGAATTTGTGCTATTTGGATTTGGACGATTCGATTTAATTCGATTTATTAATTACGTCTATCCATTTGTGTTCTGCAAACAATTCTTAATGATTGAAAAAAATGGACTTTTAAGTGACCAATTCTTTCTGAAATACAAGAAGAATCCTTTGTGTTCGGAACAACTTTAAGTTACTCCCATAAGAGATCAAAAGATCATCAGTTCTTGTATATGAAATCCTTTTCGAGCTACCAAAAAGGAATTGTAAATTTATTTTGAACGTATTATCAATTTGTAAAGAATTTAAAGTAGCAAATCCTTTTCAAGTCCATAGCAATTTGTGCTATTTGGATTATCATTTGTACGATTCGATTTAATAATTACAACATTCGTGTGAAACGGATCGTAAGCTAAAGCTTGCTTGCGATCGAAATGAATTATTTTTTTTCAACTGAATGATTCTGAGAATCAGTTTGCCTCGGGCGAACTTAAATTGTTCCTGCTCATGCGGTTGCAATTTATCTTATGATAGCTTTTGCCTTTACTCATTACGGATAGTGTACGTTTTACTCCGATCCGTACAATGAAGATTTATAAAGCTAAATGAAACCGCGACTCTATAAAATTTGAGCGCTCGTAAACTTGAAGACTTTACTAATCTTTTACAGATTTACCGATTGTCGGACGGATCGTGAATTATCGTATAAATACATTTGCGCAATCATTACATAGGAATAATCCGCCACCTTGAAAACACGTTTATGTTCGCGCGATTTAATTAACGCCATGCCGACCTTGTTTCGGCAATCGCAAGCAAATTACGCATCTCCGATCAAGGTTTCAACAGGCGTACTCGTCGAGGCGAGATATACATAAAACCGCTCACGCTTGTGAGTTCGAGGGTATTAGAGATTTTTAATAAATAATAATTTTACTACTTGTACCGCTGCACTCGTGCAATAGCGAGGAAAATATCAATAACGTGGGAAACAACAATTTTATAAAAAAATAACGTATCGCACAGATACCAAGCTCTTGTCGAATTAGCAAAATTATTTACAAACAATGGTATGAATAATTCGATTACATAATTAATTGAAGCGCGAATTAATCTACTTACAAGAGGATATGGAGCGCTCTATCTATAGGTCTCCTTTCCAAGCTAACATCCAAGGAGTGCTTTCGCAACTGTTCTTCATCCTAAGTAAGGATATTTAAATGAGGTCGGCGGGGCGTGAAATTGAATTGCACAGATGTTGGTTTAATATCAATATCAGAGAAAAGTACTCGGATGCATCGATTATAAAAGCTTCGCGTAAAGCTCGCACACGCGCGCGTGCAAGTGAAAACGGGCGGGTGGAACTGAAAATGTTAATAAGCATTACGTACCCTCACGTCGGGTAATGGTTTATCCAACTGAAGACTCGCAAATTCGTCAAGTTCCATGATCCTGTGTCCGTGCGATTCTATTTCTAAATTATAATAAATTTTATATAACCCTCTAAACACGTCATCTCTTTGCCGTCTCCTTTCTGAGAACAAAAGATATATTCATGTTAAACATAATCGAAACGCGAGAAGTCATAATGAATCTCAGAGGCACCACGTTATGTTTGCATATTTAGAAAATTACAAGGTATTAAGGCACATATAATACCTCGACTTGCGCCATGATACGTGATAGTGCAACTAGAAATAAAGAATTATTTCATCTCATAAGAATTTAAAAAAACGGTGACCTTTCTTTAATCCAAGCAGCTTACTATCAAATTTGTTCAGGTTAGTGACATAATTCATCTATCTTAGAACTACATATTTTAGAAACACCAAATATTAATACTTTTCATTTAGGCTACGTTCGGAAACATCACCCGAGTGTATTATTTTATCTCGTTACTGAATGTTAAACAAGAATAAAATAATACACTAGAACACCAGGGTGATGTTTCCGAATTGCAGTCTTAATGCACCTCGGTTACGTTGGTTTCTTCGAATAATACACTCTTTACACAATTATATACAATTAATTTAGTTTATTATGTACTGCATACATGAAACATACATCACACATAAACGTATATGTTATACGTTTGCACATTCACCTACATCATAATTTGACATGCTATATGTGAAAATAATTATATTTGTCAAGCTTATTATGAATAACGTTATTAAATAAGCCGAACTTATATCAGATATAAAAAATGTATTGCAGTAGAATCTTAACAACTATTTCAACTATTAAATATATTAACGCTTATCGAAGTTGTTACATAACCAGTAGAATCAATCTGAAACTAAATGAGATCAAATAACTTAACTTACTGTTTACTTTGAAACTAATGATTTATGTGAAAAAGAGGTAAATAAAAATAACTTGTTTAACTCTATTAGTACCGTATGTAACACGTTTGAAAAATATTTTCAAAAAATACTCCACAAGTTTGATATATATGTAATAAATAAAAGTTATTTATAATATCTGAATTGGATCCCTGAAATTGTACATTGGTCATTTTATATTATCTGAAACTATTGTAACACTGATAAACATCATATCACCAGCCACTCTTGAAAAGGCATTTGATATAATCACATTTAAAATTCGTAGAGTTTATCTTATTCTAAATAGTAAAATAAAAACTTGAACAAGTAATAAGTGTACGCTATACATATTATTTTATCTGAATTAGGAGTACTTATTTGGAATAATTTTTGGCATATCAAATGGTTTTGCTAAAAAATAAACTAAAAAAAATGAACTAAAAATAAACTGATGAACACATTTAATCCAAAATGTAAATATACAAAATGTAGTACACGAAAGATGTTTTACAGCAAGAAATACAGCATCACAGAATTTGCTATCAAATAAGAAAAACGTTCGAAATTGTAGAAATCTACAATTTGATGATTAAATATGTAATACAGTAATAACATAAACTTTCGTAATGTGTATCAGCTTTCCGGAAAACATCCTTATAACGTAACATACATTTAACATAATTTTAGAACATATATTGAATATTGATTTAATCGTATGTAAAAAAAAAGAAATATACCGAAACAATATCAATTTTATTATAAGAAAAACAGCTGATTTTCCAGCTGCGAGGATGGAGGTCGATGGAGAACTCGCCCCACTAAAAATGATAATTTTTGTGCATAATGACACGGAGCTGGTACTCGAACGGTACTTGAGCAATTGTAGTATACGTGAGTTAACTTGTAAGTTATGGTTTGTACCGTGTCAGCGGTTAAGTTAGTATTATCAAAGATAACATTGTATGCGGTTGGGGCAATAGTTCCTTGTCTAACCTGTTGCGATACAATATAGAAGTCATATTTAAGCGGATCCGTTATAACATCATCGACAACTGTACCGATCGAAGGATTACGGTTGTGATCGAACAGTCGAATATTAATTTTTTTAGTAACAATAATAAACATCATTTTGAAATTTGGACCATAGTACAATTCTTCGAGCTTCCTTTTCAGACTTTCTACTTCAATTTCGTAAACTTGTCGAATCTGCCCTTCACTGACACCATCACGATAAATCATAAGAAACCTGGGTAAAGCTTTATTCTCGTCGCGATAAGCTTTTATAGCCTTGCATATACTTTTACAAAGTTGTTCTCCAAGATCTTCGCTGCTGTGATATAAACAAATAGAGCTGAAATATCGTGTCAGCGATTGATCCACAGTTGCCACCATAGCCACTATAATTACAAATAGAAAATTATTTCATGTAGTTTAGATTATATAATAAAAAAATATTTCATAATTTAAATTAAATAAATAAAATTTTAGAAACATGAAAATGTTTCAAAATTAGAATTAGAACAATGTAATCTAAAAAACATTGTAAAATAATTGTTATTGTAATTGTTATAAAAAGATAAAAATGGGAAAACCAAATTAATACTAAAAGATGCTTACAATAATCTTTGCCCTTGGTATTAGAATCGTGGCAAACGTCAAAACCAATAGCCATTAACCCTTTTAAATCAACCGGCCCTCTCAAATCAACTAACCAAGGAGCCCCGCCCAACTTGCAGTTCATCTGTATTGCCACTTTTGTAGCAATACTCATCGCATTTCTCCCATCTAAATTCTTTTGTAAAAAGACCTGCGACGGCACTGGTCTATCCACACAACATTTCTTTTTAATGGCTGCATAACGATCGCTGCGATTATTGCTTACTACGCAAAATACTAAATCTGGGGTACATCTACTAAGAACGTTCTCAAGAACATCAGCATATGTGCCCGCTCTATCCTCTTGTATATATTGAAATTGCGGCATTACAACTGGAAAAGATATTGCGTGCGACACTGACAGTAGGTTTTGTGTAAATTTCTGTAAAAATTTTAAATTAGTAAAATTAACATTTTGTACTAAAAATTTATATGAATGCAATCACACGTGCACAAATAATTTCATTTCAATATTATATTTGATCGATACATTTATATCCACTTAATTGAAAGTTATTCACCTGTACATTACGCATGTCCCGTTGATTTGCAATCAATACCCAATTTCTCAACTCCTTACAACGCAATAAAGGTGTTCTTTGCATGTTTCTTCCCCAATCTCCGTAGCCATCCATTTTAATATCTCTAGAAAATCCAAGTTTCGGGGTAGGCAATACACGAGCAGGAACTTGAAGTAAACTTCTATCTAACGACATGTTCCAGTCTTTAAATTCTTGCATAACTTTTGGCTCTTGACGAAGTCTGCTATTAAAGTCCATTAGTTTTTTAACACGGGAATCAGGTGAGAGACAAGTATACATAGCTAATGCTTTCATAAGATGAAAATTCTCTCTCATACTATCAGTTAAACCTGCAAGGTGGAACGTTCCGTCAGCACAGAATTTGTTTACACACAAAAATTAGTACATAGCATAAGAGTATTGCACATTTATTCAATTTAAAAAAGTATATATTTAGTAAGTACCTGTCGAACGACATAACTCTGGAACTAGATAAACTAAGTTTTTATCATCAGTCGCATTTCGTTGTTTTTGCTTTGATTTCGTTATCAACATTGGTTGGGTAACATTCCGTATTTGAATTCCGTATTTCTTATAGTAGTATGCTTGGTAAGATACTTGTTCACCAGTTTTCATAGAAAATGTCGAGGAAGGATTTACATTAAAATCCACTTCCTCAACACGATATGTGTGGTTATTATAATCAGTAAGTACCAGAATTCCAATAACAGTGTTAGAGAAATCTTTCTAAAAATGTATATAACTCTTATTATATTTTTAAAATATAACATGTAAAATAATATAGCGATACATATAATCTACAGGGGGTGGACAAAATAATGTGAACACCTAACACAAAATATTTGTTAATTAATAAAGTGTAGGGCCATCGTTTGCTTTTAAGACAGCTGTAATTCGTTGTGGAATAGATTCGTAGAGTGTACGGATAGTATCCAACGAAATGTTGTCCCATTCTTCCATCAACACCTCCACCAATTGCCTCAATGATGATGGAGGTGGAAATCTGCTTCTCACTCTCTGCTTCAAAACTCCCCATAGCGGCTAGATGATATTGAGATCTGGCGATTGAGCTGGCCAGGGAAGATGCTTGATAATATTCTGATGCTCCTTGAACCAAGACTGAACTTTTTTGACCGTGTGTACGGGCGCATTATCGTCTTAGAATATGGCAGTGTTTAGCAGCAATATACTGATCACAGTAAGAATTTCATCGTTGAGAATGTCGAGATATTCATTCGTCGTCCCCGTGCTTGACTGTGGGGAGTAGGCAGTCCGGATCTTAGGCTTCTTTGGGAGTGTCCATACATAAACCCGGTCGTTTGTAGGGGACAGAGTAAACGATGATTCATCGGACCATAACACATTCTTCTAATCATCAATCGTCCAAGTTTTATGATTGTGACATCACTTCTTTCGCAGCATCGCGTTGGCATCCGTTATAAGAAGTTATTAAATTGCAGCCCTTCCATAAATATTACCTTTGTGGAGCTCCCGCCGTATTGTTTTTGTCGAAACAAGATTGTTCAGGTGACTGTTGAATTCTGCTGTCACCTTTGCTGCGGTAGTTTTGTTGCTTGGCCACAATCCTTTTTAAAATTCGGCAGTCCCTGTCTGTTAGCGTTGTTAGTCCACTTTTTCTCTCAGCAGATGTTGTTTTGCCATGTTTAGTGTAGGCTGTCATCACCGTGGATACTATCGCTCGTGAAACGTTAAACAGTTCAGCCATTTTCGTGAGATGCTCCTGCTATAACCGAGCACCCACGATTTGGCCTCTTTCGAAGTCTGACCGAAGTCGTAGAACAAAGCGTGTAGTATATGGAAATATAAACTAGAACGGTTATACCGTTCATACCTTGGCAGGGGGACCAACATAAACAAATGTATAATATTTAGCATGGCGTTCACATTATTTTGTCCACCCCCTGTATGTCAAATACCATCTTTAAGTAGAAAGTTTTGCATTAAAATTTAAAGTGTTCCTTTTAAATTAATCGAAAATTGTAAAATAAATGAAATTGACGAAATCTTTAAAGGATCATCTATAATAGATGAAGCAAGCTTGACGTAAGAGGTAGAAGTAAGCAAACTATTTCCACTTTTTACTCCTACTTCAGCTCTGACGCTTATTCTTGGTGAATTAGAGCGCGGATTGGCCAGTGCTACAAATATTTTAAAAAATTATGCTTGCATTTTACACTAAAGGTGTAATGCTTGCAGTTTACACTAAAAGGTAAAGGCTTTTTTTTTACTTCTTACTGCTTCCAATGTAGACGGCCCTTAACGTTTTGTTTTCAATATCTTCTCATGACAGACACAAGTGTAAAGAACAGAATATTCGATTACTCATGCACGAAGTATGCCACACACATTTAAATTCCATGTAACTTGTTCAATAAACGGTATTATGAAATAAAGAACAAAAAGATGCAAAATATACAAATAAAACTTAACGTCATACCCTATAGTCTTGAGAACTGCGTCTCCTACAATCTTCCAATATATGCAGTAAAGTTTCCTGGCGCATAACTTTATGCGTTAATTCGGCACACATCAAAACGTCATTTTCATGTTGTCTAATGGATGTAATATATCCAGGCCATAATTCCAATCTGTACTGATCTACCCTAACCTACACAATCGTACGAGCATTACTAAAAACTGTTAAATTTTTCATTTAATAATAAAATGAAATCCGTGTAAATTTTTTACTAACGCTGCTTTTCGCGTCGTAATATTGGCGGCCCACCAATTGCAAGTTCAGATATTCCAAACACTTTCTCATTATTATATTGAAAACGACGTTATAATATGCATCATCCGCTGACATACTTCCAACTAAACATATAATAATCTTGACGGATACATTATCAGATTGTCTCGTTGACATCAGTTCCATTCTCTGCAAATTTTCATACGTATATTTATAAAAAACAAGAAAAATGCCGCGCGTATCTACTTGTACAGAAGTATAAAATACATTAATATACTTACATCTGGTAAACGGCACGCGGAATACAAAAGAGTACCATCAAAAATATATGCACCGACTTTTTCTTTATGAAGCCTAAGCATGCCTTTGCGAACATGTGTACGCTCTTCGTCGGGATCGAAATCAACTCGATATTTATAAAGATGCCAATCTGGCACTTGGGGGAGTTTGAAGTGATTGGACTGCAACCACATCGATCTCCCAGATGTACCTATAAATTGGCAGAAATGAAAAGTTACCGAATCATGTTCTTGCCTTTTGTACGTACCTATATAAGTTGTAATACGCAGATACGTGCTACAACTGAAAAACACATAAAAATTTTATACCGACCTTTTTTAGTTACCAAGGTACTTGGCTTGGTTACAAAAACAGCTTCCATCCTACGTCGGCGTGACGAACTTGTCGACGCGCCTTCACTTTTAATTTCACTTTTGACATCGGAACCAGCTTCGCTCTTAATTTCGCTCTTAACATCGCCTTTAATTATTAGACATGAAAAAATTTTAAAAACTGTGGCTACTGGTTTTAATTTGTTTTTTATATTTCAATGTTCTAAATAATGGAAAATCTTTTATGGCTTGTTATTAAAAAAGCGCATTCTACTGGTTTATTTTTCAAAAATTGAACGATGAAAGAATAGACTTGGTAAAAAAAATGCTTACTTGACATTTGTGTCGATCCATATTCCGAGTATGTCTCTGAAGATTCTTCACGTTTTATAGACTGTCGCAATAGAATAACATATTATTTATTACGTTCTTCTGAATTTTAAAATGAATTTTAAGTTTGTGTTAATGAATCTAAATTTCTCTTTAGCGTGAATTAGTATTAAAGGCAAAATTCTTGAAACAACTTCTACGTACACATATATTTCTTAAATATATTAAGAGATAAAACGCATTTACATATCACGAGACACGGTAGTGTCTCGCGCCAAGTGTAAGCGTAGCTAGTACACGCGTATATTATACTCGAAATTGAAATAACAATAAAATTGTACAATACCTTGGTCGACGGACGGTCCTGTAAAAAAGAGAATACATTCACTATGAGTAAAGTACAATCTGTCACGTCTATTAAGC